GTAGAAAGATGTTCCACCATCAGATGTAGAAAGATGTTTCACCATCAGATGTGGAATGAAGTGAATTTGACAAAATATGCTATGCTAATATGATTTTATGCTCAGATGTGGGGGTTTTTCTTCTCATGAACCAAACACTCAAGAACTGTCTGAAAGTTCTTTTTTTAAATTTATTTATTTATTTATTTTCAGATTTTACATTTTCTGGATAAAACAAATTGTTCGTTGTTGTCCTTTTGTGTTAGTTGTGCTGTTGTTGTTTTTAAACTGCATGCCTTTCAGACTTGCCCGTGGGTCGGAGGTTGTGCTTCCAGCTTCTCCAGTGAATGTTTTCTGGTTTCTTTCCTCTGCGACAGTCAGCTGAACATCTTTGGACCAAACAAGACATTTGAGGAAAACATTTGTAGCATTTTATGATGTTAGAGACCAAACAGCTGAGCAGTTCATCCAGACAGTCGTAGCTATTTTCAGACTTCCTGTCCTGTCTGTCCACCTGTCCAGCTGTCCAGCGGAGGTGATGGGGCTGCAGGTGGACTACTGGAGCAGTCAGGGAGGAGGAGGAGGAGGAGGAGGAGGAGGAGGAAGCAGAAAGGAGGCGGCGATGAAGAACACGCTGAAGAGCAACTTCCGCTGCCTGCAGGTGTCGAGGCTCAGCGGAGGAGAACTGATGAGCATGACGGTGGTGACGAAGGAGAAGAACAAGAAAGGTGAGAAGGAAGAAGTGGTGAGGAGGATGGTGATGATGATGATGGTGATGATGGTGATGATGATGATGATGATGATGATGGTGATGATGATGGTGATGATGGTGATGATGATGATGATGATGATGGTGATGATGATGATGATGGTGATGATGAAGATGATGATGGTGATGATGGTGATGATGGTGATGATGATGATGGTGATGATGATGATGGTGATGATGGTGATGGTGGTGGTGAGGAGGAGGATGATGATGATGATGGTGGTGGTGATGATGACGACGGTGATGATGAAGGTCCATCTGTCAGTCATGTTCCTCAGCAAGAAGACCAAGGAGAAGGAGGCTGAGTCAAGGAGTCAGCTGATCGAAGGAATCAGCAGGTTGATCTGTACCTCCAAACACCAACACACACTGAGAGGTACACACACACACACACACA